AAAAAAAAAAAAAGTAGAATTTACTAGGTATAATTTCGAGATTTTGTATATTTTTTCATGTTACCGTGCATTCTGTGCAATTTTGCAACTTTCATTTTTCTATAATTGCATGAAAATCCGCTGTCTACTTATGAAGCATCCCCGGATTCGTTTATTTCTTTCTTTTTTTTTTTTTTTACAAAAATTAATTTTCAATTGTACCTTATATCTTAGCTTCGTAAGTTTTATTTTCTGTCAGAAAAGTTTCCTGGTAGCTTCTCATAAAGCCTAGAGTAAAGTTCGTTGGAAACAAGTGGATGAACTTTAATACTTCAGTTATATACATTTTAAAAATCAGTGCAACCTAATTCACTGCAGTCTTCAAAATTGACACGTCTCCTCGCTTTAAGTACAGTATCTCTTTCTAAAGTAGAATTATTTACGGAACGTCGTTTCGAAATTTCTGAAAAAAAGAAGAAAACAGTACACTTCCTAGAAATAAAACAGCAAATGAAGGTTAACACGATGTTAATCAGATTTTTAAATTGAAGAAATTACCAACCCGCTAAACCTGAAGAACTCGATATCGATTTTCACATAACAGGATCTACAGTTAGTAAAATGACATTTATTTGCTAATGTTGGCGATTAAAAGTGTTCCACTACGAGCTAAAGCACTAGGAAGCTGAGAATTCCAAGAGGCAAATTTCAAGAAAAAAAAGATGACAAAAAATTTGTTTATCTCGAACATAGTTCCTTTTTTATTCTTTTTTTTTTTCCACGTAGAAACTAATATATCGTACCGAGGTATGTTGAACAAGGCTAAAAACATTTGAATAGAAATTGACTGCTTTATCCGTTCGGTATCTGTCGGTGGTGGAGGGATGCTACCGAGGATAGGTGCTTTCATCAGGGCCACGCCATTTGTCAAGATTCTATCTTGTACACGTAAACGCCTATGAAACGTTCTCGAAACAGTGAAACGAAGCAGAAAATGCTACCAGAGAGACTAAACACCCACGATATCACTTCTGACACATTCGATTGCCCGCAGCTGCAATCGTGGGTGTGAAATGTGACATTTTACACGAAATGTGTTGGTGGAAAGGGGAAACGTTGGAGAGTATTAAAATATGATTGAGCTTGTTCGTTGATTTGCCGGAGGAAAAGAGAAGGGTATTTCATTATTCCGAAATCAAGGTTTCTGCCCTTTTCTGGACACTTCTGACTGTTTTTTAAATCAAGCAATAAATAGAGAAATGTAAAGTAGACAACAAAAAAAAAAGAATAGAATTTATACTTTGATCACTTATACAAAGTACTTATTAACACTAACGTTAGTGTATTAATAAAAGAATCGAATTTGGAATTTCAAACGAGATCGGCACACTTGCTCAAATGCATTCTTTGAAATATTAATAAATGTTTTGTACCCCAATTTTAATTTTAAAGTGACAGTCTGAAAAATAATACGAAACACTCATAATTCCACGTCCAAATTACGAGATATGGTTCACCATGGGACGAGAACTGCGTTAAACGTTAAATCGATCAGAATATAAATCAATCGTCGAAGATATCGAAATAATGGCAGAGTCGTTGGAATTATTCGGACAGAAATAAGCCTGCAGCACCGGTATTAATCAAATATCGAAGACTTATCGGGGATAATTTATGAAATACACGCTAAACAGGAAATGTCGAAAAGAAATGTGCAGCGAAGAGATAATTCGAAAGTACACGATAAAGGAACAGTTCCTTAATATAGACAACACATCTGCGAATTGCGGTCAATTAATTCCAGGCCCGTTTCTCCGAAATTGTTGCAGAAAGTCCTCGAGACGCGGCTGGACAGCAGGGTCGATGCCATGGTGGAGACCGGTCTGGTGCAGGAACTGCTTGACTTTCATCGCAGATACAACGAGCAACGGATTAAGTCCAACACGTAAGTGCACGAGTTATATCAGTAAGTGCTTTATATCACGCGAACCAGTCTGCTGCCGGTACAAGGATTTATCCTTCGTTTTTCTCCTGTTTTCGTTGAGTCCCCCGATCCTTGCTCGCCAGACCGTTCGACGAGCCGCGCGCGTTCGCCACATTTTATTTTACATTTTAAGTCCGTTCGGTTAGGGGTTTGTAGTAGAGATTGATTAGAAATTGCGGATTTGATTCGATGATATCCTTCTGGAGATGTTTGTTACGTCTGTTGCGGGTTGTCCAGGCTGTTGCATTTTTGTCCAGAGACTGAAATTGTTCTTAACGGCGGTAACGTGAAATGTATGGTACAGTGTTAGCGTTGAAGGAATTGAGTTTATCAATGAAACGTCGCTTTTGGAAATGAAACTTTAAATACAGTGCGGTCATTTTTTAAATAATGGATTTAGGCAAAATAATTTTCACACTTTTTTCAAAGATTGATATGATAGTTTTTTGTCTTTGAATGCTACTTACAGCGTGGTTTTCTCTCTCTCTCCCAAAAAGTAATAGATTTAATGAAAATAATTTCCACAAAAACGATTGATTAATTTTCATTATTCCAAGTTTATACAAATCATTAGTCTGAATTCAGAGACTCTGTGAATGCTACTTACAGTGTGGGGTTTTGTCTCCCCCAAAAAGTAATAGATTTAATCAAAATAATTTGCACAAAATTCTATACACTTTTTCTAACCATTGACTGCTTTTCATTAATCCAAATTTATAAAAATCATTTGTCTTTGAATTCAGAAATTCTCCGAATGCTACTTGTACCGTGTGGTTTTTGATCTCTCAAAAAATACTTTGCGCAAGATTCTAGACACTTTTTCTAATCATTGACTAGTTTGATTAATCCAAATTTATATTGAATTCAATAATGAATGCTACTTCTACTGTGTCCTAATAATGAATTGCATTTATCAATTACTAGTGTCAGAGTACACCCCCTTCAATTTCACAATTCACTTACTTTTACTTCCACACACCTTTCAGCAATACCCCAATCTTTCCATCTACATTCTTAAACCGCTAACCAGCTAACGATCATTCATTTCCTCCTACAAACAAATTCACTGCCTTCCACCGCGCATCAATTACACTCCATCAAAAGGAACGACAGAAAAGAAGAATAGAAAAAAAAAAGAAGAAAAACTAACCTCTTCTCTAAACCGATACTATCTTCAAATACTTCCACTCTACCTTTCGTCGTTCCACCAAAAGAAGAGAGTCCTTCTTTTTCTTCTTCCCTTTCCCCCCGCTTGATTCTACCGTAACAGAACGAAATCCTACAGACCCCCGCGAATCAAAAGAAGAAGAGCAGCGGCAGCCTCGAGATATACGCGCGTTCTGCAAGCGTATTTCACGGCTGCTCGAAATTCACGAGTCACGTGTGCATATCGAGCACGTGATTCGTACACGCCGGCATGCCAGGCCTTTGTGAATGAAGGCTCGGTGTGCTCGCCTCTCTCGCCTTACTCGCTTCCGGAAATTGCGAGCGCGTCGACCGGATGCCTGAGAGAAAATAAAGGAAGTAGCCAACCGCGAGGAAAAGTACCGGCCTTGGTGGCGGTACACGGGCGCGGCGCACGAGCGTGCTAGAAGAAGAAGAAGAGTGGAGGAGGAAGAGAAGAGAGAAAAAAAAAAGGGGAAAGAAATACGGCTCGACTGAATGATAATCGCGTTATCCCTGAGTATCTAGGAAGCTCGACGCTGATACGCTGCAGTGGTTCTCAAACGCTCGCTTCGCGGTTCGACGGGTTTTTTCGAAGCACAAAGGAGAGTTTGAAACGCGGGTTTTAGGCGCCCATTAGGCTTTGCTGATCTGTTCAATGGTGTGAAGATGTTATTTTGAAAACTTCTGGTTTCGTCGATCTGCCACTTCGGTTCTTATCTTCCAAGCTGGAATCTCCGGTTATTGTGTCTTTTAACCCTTTAACGCTCGCGTTTTTGGGAACTTGATGTGACAGATGTGATCAATTTTATTTATTTATTTTTTCATTATTTCTTAGGCGTGTGGATAATAAGTTTTGCATTTATTCATCGTGCTGTGATGTACATTTCTGCAGTGGAGTAGAAAGGATAGTGGAATATGAAAAGTGAAGGAGAATAATTAAAGAAACAGTTAAACGGGAAAAATTTCATGTCAGCAAAAGTTATTAAAAAAAATGAGGGTTAATAGTTTCGTCAATTTAGATTATTCCCTGCTTTAAATGCTGATCAGTAGATACCCAACACGTTTTCTCCTTACGCTTCAGTAATAACGAAGAATAATCGTTACATAAAATTATAAATTTTTATGAATA